GCCATATCCAATCCATAAAGATTATTATTCGTTTATTAGGGGTCAACCATTAAAAATCATGGGGGGGGGGGGGTTATTTAAAATCAACTCAAGGTAGACACCAAGGAAAAAATATGCTTGCACAGTGTTGTAGGGAACACAATTTGGCACATTCCAATATCACATATTAAGTTAGTTTGATCAGAGTGAACTCAACCCACATTTTCAATTTTGCGATCGAACTAACCGTTTCTAATTCTATCTAACTGTGGCAAATTTGCGACCAGCATTTTCAACTTTCCAATTAACTTTTGCAACTTTCCAAGACAATTTTCTGTCCTATTTTTCTACTTTCAGCAAAACCTTTGTAATTTGACATTCAATTTTTGTTGACTTTTTACCTTACTTCTGTAACTTTGTAAACCAACATTTTCAACATCCCAGCTTTCAAGCTGACTTTCTAGTTGGGTTTTGCAAATTTTTTGACTTTTCACTTTCTTGATTTCCTGGCTTATATTTTCAACTTTGCAATCAACTGTTCTGAATTTTCGCAATTCAACCAACATCTTTGGCTGGTTCCCGCCTCAAGTGTCATGGTGTACCAAGCCACAAGAGGCCGGTAACTAGTAATGAATCCAGCATTCTGATTGGTCCGTCACTTTCTCATTGCTTGTTCTATTTCCCTTGGTTACCTGACGGCACGCTTACGCTCGTGGCCGTTCAGGGGTTTCCTTTTACTTTCGAAAATTGGGTGAATAAAAAACTGTTTCTTTTGTTATAAATATTCACAGAAACAGCGAGGAATGTCAGAAACATCTCAAATGTGTAAATCTAAGCAGGCAGTATGTTTGAGCATGGCTTTATTGTAGTATTGTAGACATGTTTACGCAGAACGGAACTTGGAATGTTTTCAAATTACGTCACTCAGTCACGTGCCTTCCGGCCGGAAAACCAGCCCAAATGGAACAATATGGCGATTACTAGTTACCTGCGTCCTACCTACCATTCGCAAAGGATGCCGGGAACCAGCGAACCAACATCTCTGACTCTCTAGAAAATTTTTGCAACTTTGGAAACGAATGTTTTCGATCCTTTACCAAAATTTTGTCTCCAGCTAAATTTCTTTGCCTATACATGCAGCAAATACAGAGTTCAACTGAAAGGACTCTCCCACATGAAACTGTGAGGGCGCCAGACTTATGAAAAAAGGTCTGCAGTCTACTGCACTCATTTATATCTCGCACCCAAAGATAAAGAGTTGAATACATTACCCGGTTAATATTACAACTTGTTTTCAACGTTGTAACTGCGGATCGCAAGTTAGCGGTGATTACTGAGTGTCATTTTTTTCAGACATTTACATCAGGAGTGAGAGTATATAATAAATTACATTTTAAAAAACATTTTTTTTTTCCATTGAAAAAGAAAATGCAACAAGGAAGATTGATAGAAAGGATTTTTATTTATAGAGTGCCATGACATTAAAATTAATTAAAAAAAAAACAATACAAAAAGTTTCACATGACAAAGTTTGAATAATACCATTAAATAACACTTAAAAACAACAGGTAAATAAATTCCACCACTAGGTGGTGCTGTGACATTGGACGGTCTTAAAAATGATCAAATTTACATTCAAAACTATACAAATTAAAATCTATTTTCATTCTGTAGGTTTTTGCAGAGGAAATTGGTTACTAGTATTCAAAATCAAAATTGTTGAAAGCATAATTAATTTTTCCTGGAAGAATTACTCCTAGCTTCTTCTGTCTGTTTCTCCGCTTGGCTCTCCGAAGTGGAGTGACAGACGGATGAAGAACGCAATATAGTGAAAGTATAATTCATGTTAAAAAGAAATCGGCATATTTTGGAAGCGCAACTAATAATTTAGCGAGTAAAAAAAATGACAATATTATTATATAAACAATATATACATTACTGTTTCCACCTTTAGTGTATATTTTAACTTTAATAGCATTGTTTGGATGCAATGAACAGAATTTGCTACAATTTACATGATTTGTGCAAAATTTTAGAGAAAACTGCAATAACAGGTTTAGCGAAAAATTATGTGTCACTATTGAGGTCAAAGGTTATCAGAGTAATGATTTTTGTTGAGTTGAAAATATATACAAGGCTGAATTTGATACAATGAAAAAAAAAACCCTGTCGAAAAACAAGCTGCTCTCTGATTGGTCTGACTGTAAGGTGTTGGGGCTGGGTAGCCAATCAGACACAGTCTTGTAAGTAGCATATAGATAAGGCAGAATTTTGATACATTGATAAAAACATGTAGAAAAACAAGCAGCTCTATGATTGGTCTGAATGTTGGGTGCCAGTGGTAGGCAGCCAATTATATTTACACACTTTAGTGGTCATCACAGCCATCACAGGCAACAATAGGAGAACTTGTTTGCATACTGCCTTCAGACTCACCAGAAGGTGAGGTCAAAATTGGTTAGAATTCTCCAGAAATCCAATGCCAAATATATCAATCTTTGCAGTATTCAGTGTCACAACCTTAATTGGTCCCCCCCTGGTTTATCCATAGGACTGCTTCATTTGTATCTATAGAAACAAACCAACTTTTAGCAAGGGACGAACCAACTAATTAATTGGGGGTTAATGAAAAACAAGAAAATACTTACTTAAAAAAAAAGAAATTGTCACTGTAATTCACACATTTCTTACACAATGAAACAAAAATAAAGCAACTCAAGAAGAGGGAAGAAAAATACTTTGACTTTCGATGATTTGACTTTCGATGGTAATTCCAATACCAGCAAATGCACGCAAATGTTTATATTTCCTTCATTGTTTGGCTTGGATGGCCCAATAGTGATATTCTCTGTTAACACTCATGGCAGTCACTAACTTTCTTTAAGATTTAAACTGAATTTACTTGCTAGAAACAAAATTTAATGAGAAAGTGAATATTTTATGAAGGGGAATTAAGACTCCCTATTAAACTCACAGTGAACATTTTACTGAAGGGCTTTAGACCCCTTAAGTTACCATCCAAAAAGTGAGAAACTTAAGACCCCCTAAGTCACAATGAATATTTGACTGCAGGGACTTAAGACCTCTTAAGTCATAGTGACTTTCAGTAAATTGTTTTCTCACAATCATCCAGGGATCGACGATGCAAACAATTTCTAGAGGTAAAAAATTATCTGGTTTAACCTTCCCTGGTTTTATGTCAGCACATTCAGATTTTTGCAAAATAAAAAAATTAAAATGCTGGAAATAAAAATTAAGCATTTTAGGTAAAAAATCTGTGATCTCATTTTAATTAAAGTGTCTGTTCTGGTGAAAACTGAAAAAGTTAACAAAATGTTCGCACGTTAATAAAATAAAGTGCTACATACATAACTCAAGTTTGAATGTTGTATAAAACAAACCACATATTTGTCATGTGACCCATTCCAGACATGACACAATATGGCACTTCAACTGCATTGTTAACAGCTTAAAGCGAGAGGATCGTCACCTGCGTTTGTGCGGGAATCGAGTCCCAAGCAATGATGCGAAAATGCAAAGGCTCATGGGAAGATGCTTGTTTGTAAACAACAACACGCTATGGCCGTTTGCCGCATACGCAGGTGACAACTCTGCGGCTTTAATTTTCACTTCTACGAAATTTGTAAATTTTCAGTAA